CGCGAACTCTATGGGCGCCGCCATCTTGCCTGCCGCCATTACTGCGGGCCTGCTAAGGGTGACGGTGTGACACTTGCCGGTGCGTCTAATGACTTTTCAATGAAAGCGGATCCTGCTCATGAAAGAAAAAGTCTGGTGAAAGGGAACATTGGGTAGATGATGTCAGGTATAGTGGCCAAAACTTACAGATAAAGCTAATTTATTGACAACACTGTATTAATGTAAAACTGCGTCAGCCAAATGTAATGTAATTAAGACGTGTATGAATTGATGACAACAATAAAACCGAACGCTGTCATTACTAGCTGGGTGATTCTCTGAGATGGGTGCCTTTTGGGTTATACCTTTCTTTCTTTTTTATACCTCAAATAGTTATATTTCTGATCATTTCATGTGATAGTGGATTAGTCAAACCTTTAAGAAAATGTATTTTCCCACCTCAGGCATGAAATTCTAATCGATATTGAGTGTTTTTTCTTACTGAAAGTTGTTTTGAAGTTCAACCCCGTCACAGACCACTTGGACCCTGTTTAAATATGGTTTTAAAAGATTTTCAAGTAAATTCTTGTAGAAGCTTTTCAATGAGATGTCCCTTGTTTGATATCATTTATTGCATGTAGAATTTTATTTTTAAATACTCACCATTTGAATACCAAATCAGCTCATGAAAAATGTATCTAACATTGGTCTTCATATCTTATCACAAAATATGCATTAACATTAGGATTTAATCAGGCTTTCGTACTTTTTCCGACTGTCCGGTAAATTCTACACACAGCAAAACAAACATTGACCTAATTTGTCTTCTTATCACGAAAATATGAGTAAAAACGATCAAATAACAGGGTTGAACTTAGCATAACGGGGTTGAAAATGATAACAGGGTTGAAGTGATGATCATTATTTCAATATAGAATGGATTTATTATGGATTTATTTATTATTTATTACGACTGAATCTTTCTTTTTCCCTGTCTCTGTGTCCCTTTTCCACCTTTCACGCTCACTCCTGAGATATTTTCCCTTCTCTCTGCGTCTGCATCCCTTCTTGCTCTGGACTGTCTTTGCCTCTCTGCTGCTGTTTTTGCCATTGCGATGTCTGAAAATAAAATGGCATAATCGATTATTTCTGACAGTTCACATCACAATACAACAAGTCTACAATTGAGTAATCTACTAAGAAGTGTCAAACATTCAACCCTGTCACAACGATTCAACCCTGTTATACTAAAAATGTGACGGGGTTGAAGTTTTTGGCTAATAGTAGCCATAACTCCTTACTTAGCAAAGACAGTAGCACCACATGGCATTTAGGACATCATAAAATTGTAATGTTTTGCAAAACTATTATTTAATTCTTCTCAAACCTTTGTTTACTATGATTTAGTCATACAACAGAGTTGAAATGTTGAGCCTGACAATCTTAATCTGACAGCGAAAAACATGAAATATAGGTAAGAAAAGATACTGACACTTGCCTTTCTTTGCAGCATGTTCTTTAAGAGACTTGTGTGATGTCACTTCCATTATTTTTATAGGGGGGTAAATAGTATGGCGTGACGGGGGTTGAAAAAAAACTGGAGGACATGTATAAATATTGCAATTTCATATATAATAAAAAATTTTTTTATATATATATATGTATGTTTTAGTTAAAGTAGACCAACATATGATTATATTAGCAGCAACATTTTAGTATTAATTGCACTTTTTATTTGTTTGATATGCAATGAAAATGTAATGATGGTTAGTGAGGACATGCACACTTGCTTGTTGTCTACTACTTAGGCAACCCATTATCTTTAAATAATTTTTTTTTTTAAATAAATTGTGTTGCATTATAATGCAAAGGCACCTGGTTCTATTAATTGACAGCATTAAAATGCATTTTGTGATTTCCTTCAATTGAAAATCTTTGAAGCAAGTTTGGGGGACTTGAAGGGCACCCAATTCAGAGAATCACCCAGCTGTGTTGCTAATATGTTCACAAGCTTTACAAGTTGCAAATAACTCAGTGTTTCCCCTATTGTTTTGTAATAATACTATTTAAATACGAATACGTGTTCTGTGTGAATGAATGGTGCAGTCGACGCACAGTTTCATTTAACACACACACACATATCGAAAGCCAAATGGTTCAGAATTCGCGTGGATTTGATCGCCGTCTACAGACTACATCTGGTGCTGTGCCGGATCTTAAGCTCTTGTTTTTATTTTTTCTTGAAAAAAATTAATTTACGTCATAGTCATTTACAGTGTGTTTACACCGCAAAACAAATTCTTGCCATTTTCGCGCTCTTCCAAACAGGATTGTCTTCTCCGACTTGCCGTAGAGTCCTCAAACTCAGAATAGGAGGGGCCATGTAGATGAGCTCACAAAATCTGCATTTTGAGTGGCGTGTGGCGTCAATTTAACATCTATCGGCGAGTGGCGTTATTTTAACGCGTGGCGGCGTGTGACGTTAACTTATCGCCTGACGGCGTTATGAAGACGGAGTTTTAACATTTAGACGGCGATCAAATCCACGCGAATTCTGAACCATTTGGCTTTCGATACACACACGCGCGCTGAAGCATGTGGGACGCTCGAGCTGTTTATTTGCCTACATGAGGACACGACTGCATGAACTTCCTCGAGATGCGCTTGATTCCTGCCGGATCCATAGTGAGAGCGGCGCGGCCAGAGAAATGTTGGGCGCTGCGGCATATTACATATTATAAATAGTTTTTCAGCGTGAGAAATACAATGTGTGGCGGGAGAGCGTGACAAAAGACCGAAATGTGTAACTGTCACGCTCAATGCGTGACACTTGAGAGCCCTGCAACTACTTGATGTTACTTTCTCCCGCCGCAAATATACTTTTTTTCTGTACAAATAGTTTCAAGTTAGCCAACGTGTCGCCACCATACACATCAGCATAAATGCTCCTGATAAATTATTTGTTATTAAAGCATTAACACACAAACCACACTGCTATAAAAGCAAGCAGGCTACTGCGTGCATGGTCTGGTATGTCTGAATGCGCACAAGTGCGCTTTCTAAAAAGCTGACATCAGTTCATCGCGATTCGCGAATCTTTCATAATATATACACTTTGTTTGTTATAATTAGAGGATTTGCCAGCATACAGAATTCACACACCGAGTGAGTGCTTACCGCCCGCGCCAGGAACTTGTGTATGACTTGTGTAACGTTATACCGTATGGCCGTAAACATGGGCAGTCAATGCGCAACAAAGGTTTGTGAATTTCACGAACGGTTTTATTTGTTGTTAAAACAGCCAACCACACAACACGCTCTTCCCGGCAGGACAGCATATGTTCTAAAAAAACTACATAGAAATAACATTTCGTACAGCTAACATCTGCTACAGCCGCCTACGGGACCAACGCTACTCCTTAGCAGCAAAGGCCCGCAGTAATGGCGGGGCGGCGCTGCTTTACTTCCGTGTTTCGCCGGATTTGTGTATAGCCAGATGATCAAAATAAACACTAATGTCTCTTGTGTGTTTTGTCAGATCGTTGGTTGTAAAGTGTGTCGAGTTCCTGAAGGCTCCACTGAGCGATACACCAGGTGGATCAACTCTCTGAGTCCAGAGCAGCTCCTCACACAGGTGACACACACACACACACTCACTCACACACTCACACAGGTGACATAAAACTGCTGCACAGCCCGCACTCAAACAGGTGACACACACAAACACTCTCTCTCACACACACACACACACACACTCACACACACACTCACTCTCATTCTCACACACACACACACACGTTTCCTGTTCTGCATTTGTCATTGGAAAAAAAGCAGCGGTCCTAGTACTGAGCCTTGTGGTACTCCACACTGAACTTGTGATTGATAAGACATCTCTTCGTTTGCTTGTCAGATAAGGATGATTTAAACCATGCTAATGCAGTTCCACTAATGCCAACATCACTTTCCAGTCTATTCAAAAGAATAGACTCAGCACAACATTGGTCTTTAAGAAGGAGAAAAAAGAGCAAACAGCAAGTGTGCGGCAGGCTCAGGGTTTGATCGGGGCGCTTCGGGGCTAACGGGGGCTTGAGGAGTGTTTACAAACAGAGGCACAAACCGTAAGAACATAATCATATGACACAATATCAAAATACGGAAGAATCTGTCGCTACTTCCATTTTATTGAGAGTTTAAATAGTGTGAAAATGGCATTCACAGCCTACTTTACTTCCATAGTGTGCTGTATTTCCAAATATCCAGCGGGTAGTTATGCAATGCAAGACTTTACCCATTAGGAATTGATGCTAGCTGGTTAAAGTAGCAGGCGTTGGATATTAACAGGAACCAATGAAAATCACAAAAATGAAAAGTCATTGGTGGAGACAATTATGAACATTAATGAAAGATGATGATTTTATTCTTTAGATTATAGGTCACTTTATTAAGGAAGTAAAGAGGGATCATCTGGATTTGAAGTGTGTGTGTTGTGTGTGTGTGTGTGTGTGTGAGTCGCTCTTTTATGAGCCCATTTGATCTCTCAGCGTGTGTGTGAGCAGGATGTGTGTAGGTGTGTGTGTGTGTGTCAGGAAAGACGAGGCGTGTTGTGTTTTGAGGGGTCGCGTGCCACGCGGTCAGTAGGTCGCCACAGAAACAGGATGTGTACCTGAAGACTGATGTTTCCACGGAAACGGTGAGCGCAGAGCATCCACACACGCTGGCGGGAAACGGATCCCGAGGGTCGTGAGGTCAGAGTGATGCGTGGAACGCTCCAGTCGCCCAAATCATCCAAAAAAACACAGAGAGAGAGAGAGTTATGACTGGTGTTTTTCTAAGGCAACTTCAAATTCTAGTAAGCCCTTAGCAACTGCCTAGTAACACCCTAGCAACACCTTAGGTACCCCTCACAACATTGTAGCAACTGCCTAGTAACACCCTAGCAACACCATAGGGATCCCTCACAGCATTCTAGCAACTGCCTAGTAACACCCTAGCAACACCATAGGGACCCCTCACAGCATTCT